AAGGGATCTTATGAGCACCCTGTGCGGATCCTGCAGGAACCTGTGGGATCTTATAGGCACCCTGCAGTGACTCTATGGGGACCCTACAGGGATCCTGCAGGAAAGCAGCCCCACTGAGGGCAAATCCTGGAGATCGCTTCAGAGAAGCGAGTGCAAGCTGTGGGCTGCGAGTAAGGAGGAGGCTCCCTGGGCTGCAGGGATGAGATGCCTCTAAAAGCCACGGGTGCTCTCTCGCACCCACAAAGAGGGGAAGCTGTGTCCCCACCACCAACCCTCAGGAGGCACCTCCTGCCAAATCGCTGACAGCAGCCAGGGCTGAATTTGCAGGCATGGCCAGATGCTCCTTGATGCTGCTGTCTGGTAACATTTTTCCCTCTGCCTTGTGGGGTGGAATGGGTAGGGATCTGGCCTAGAGGAGGGGCTGGGGGCTTGGTGGGACCCTGAAACACAGAGCAAAGTGGTGGCACCCAGCCCAGGGAAGGGCTGCGGCCCTGCGGCCCTGCAGCTGGTGGGCTGGGTTGTCCCCACGGGAAGGGTCCTTCCAGCCCTCGCCTTTTTGCCTTTTGAAGGGTTCTAATTAAGTGATTGCCTAGATTAGGACGTGGGCTTGAAGCTAGACACTTCCCCCTGAGGAAAGCAAATGGCACTTCAGATTTGTCACCAGGACTCAGCATTTTCCCATTTCTTTTTGCAGCACATAAGAGGGAGGGCTGTTGGATGGTTTTCCCCCCCAAAAAAAAATTTGGGGATTTTCTTTCTTTGAATGAGGGAGGGTGTGCAGTTCTGAGTGCCCGACTGCCTCCACCAGCCCAGAGGCAGAGGCTTGGCTGAGGCTAGACCTCAGGGAGGTGAGCGACCCAGGGGCAGTGAGCTCTCTGCACCCCCTTCCCATGTCACCTCAATGGTCAGGGCTAAAGGCAGTTTTTGGGGACAGACGTAGTGGGCAGTATCCCACCATTTTCTAAAGGCTGAGGACGCCCAGGAAGGGGCTGAGGTTACATGGGAGAAACCTCAGATTTGTAGGCCAAAATGGCACCTCTTCCCTGTCCCTGTGCAGAGGGTCATCAGAGGTCTACCTGTCACAGGGATGCTGTTGGGGGGTGAATGACTGTGCATGGGGTACAACTTCTGTGTGCAAGGGATGGGGAGAGAGAGAGTCTGGAGACCTGTGGGGATACACTTGTGGCCAAGAGCTGGTCAGGCCTCTCCAAGTCCAAGTCAGCCTCCTCCTGTGGCTTTGGAGAAGGGTGTTAATGAGGGGTGAGGTGAGAAATTACCTATGCTTTTATCTTCATGTAAATCCACCTTTCCCTCTTCCCCTCTTCATCTTTATTTTCCAGATTTTTTCCTCCCCTGTTCCCAAGATCCTCCTCCTGAGCGGCCACCATGGGAAGTAAGACCCTGCCAGCCCCAGTGCCTATCCATCCTTCCCTCCAGCTCACCAACTACTCCTTCCTGCAAGCGTTCAACGGGCTGCCCGCCGTGCCCTCTGACCACCTCTCCAACCTCTACGGCTTCAGCGCCCTGCATGCCGTACACCTGCACCAGTGGACTTTGGGGTACCCGGCCATGCATCTGCCCCGCTCCTCCTTCTCCAAGGTGCCCAGTGTGTCGAGCTTGGTGGATG